TTCCCCCCCCCCCCCCCCAAATGGTTTTGCAATAAAAGAACGTTGCATCATTTTTTGCACATCTTAATTATTAATTATCGGAGGCATAGCCGTGTTAGTCTATATCGACAAAAACGACGAGGAGTCCGGTGGCACCTTAAAGACTAACAGATTTATTTATGCCCAAATTTATGCCCAAATAAATCTGTTAGTCTTTAAAGTGCCACCGGACTCCTCGTTGTTTTAATCATTAATTGTTATCTATCAAAGATTAGCTTTGTTTGGTTTTTATTGGCAGCCCTTCACGTGTCTTGGATAAACTCAAAATTCCTACCGTGTGGCAGATATATCATGACTTTAAAAAAGACTTCTGCAAACAAAGCCCTGACCCCTTAAAGTATTTTTTTTAATGGCAGATCTGAATTTACCTTACAGTACTTTAAAAAAAATTAAATCAAATAAGTCTTAAATGCAGCGTCACTGTCTGTGTTACAGTAGGTAATATATTACAAAACTCTTGTGCAATAAAATCTGTCTTTTCACGGTTCCTGAAGGAATATCATAAATCTTTGTCAAAGCAAAGAATAAAAAGCACGCAACTCTAAGTGAGAGTAGGACAGCAAAAATTAACTAATTTAAAGTCTCATAGGTTATACAAAGTGAAAGATCACTTTATATTGTTGCATAACTTTATATCAGTGCTGTATCACTTGAAGCCCTTGAGGATACATTGAGGCTGGGTAGAGTAGAAAAGCTTACCCTCTCCCCTCCTAATGCCTGTAACCTGATACCATTTTCTGCAGTCATCTCACAAAGATGTGTGTACCAGAGCAGCTAAAGCAGGGTTGTTAGTTTGTAATAGTACCTTGCAGCAAGAGTCCCATCTGAACTACTAAAATCTATTATTAGAGCCCTGCTTTGTATCCGCATCTGATCCTCAATTTGCAAAAATGATCTCCTGATGTCTGCAGAATTGCAGGGCTTTAGATATAAAATTTGAATCCGCATCCATCCGTGATCCGCAAAAATGGTCTGCTGCAGGGCACTATCTATTATGTTGGTAGGATGGAGTGACAACTGTTTGGTTTTGTGGACTGCACATTTTTTAAATGGTGTTCCTGAGTCGTAGTCATCAAAATTATTATGAATCATAGAATATCAGAGTTGGAAGGGACCTCAGGTCATCTAGTCCAGCCCCCTGCTCAAAGCAGGACCAATAATCCCCAGACAGATTTTTGCTCCAATCCCTAAATGGCCCCCCTCAAGGATTGAACTCACAACCCTGGGTTTAGCAGGCCAATGCTCAAACCACTGAACTATGAGATGACAGGACATTAAATTTTGAGAGTTTAGTCGTATTTGGACTTGCAGATAGATGCCTTTCAGCCATGGTACTCAGAAGCTAGATATAAACATTTAAGCACTGCGACCCTCCTTTCAGTGACCTCATATTATCTACATCAGGGTTTAGGTCAGCTTAACTACACTTGCTCAGGGTTGTGGATTTTTGAGTTGGGTCAAGTTAACGTTTTGGCATAGACCAGGCCAAAGGGTATGTGTCTCCACTGCAGAGTTAGGCCGTGTCTATACGTGCAGTCTTGTGAAGATGCTCTATGCCCGTTGACGTAAAAAACCCACCTCTGCAAGCAGCCTAAGCTGTGTCAGCGGGAGAAGCGTTGAGTATGGACTGAGACTCAGGAGACCAGCTGTGTCAGTGACCTTGGACAATTGCTCCTTGCTTGTGTCTCCTTGTGTAAAGGATAATAATCCTAACTATGACTAAACAGATGGGCTGTCAGAGTCTAACTTCATAGCACCATGCATGTCTGAAGGCACCAGAAAGGGAACTGTTGCTTTGATCAAAGTCTTCCCATCCCAGGTTGCTTTAGCATCTGCATATAGAATTTGTTTAGAACTTGTGTGTCCTTTGGTGTGAAGGGGATGGGGGCTCCAATGATATTTGGGGCTCTTTGTTATGTTGATCCCATCAATTTGAAGGGTGGGAGTTTAATCACTAGCATTTAGTTCTTCCACCCACTGTGTACCTCCCCTTGCTGAGTCATGAAGTTGCTATTGTCTGTAAGGCTTTCCAGTGGGGTAAAACTGTGACTTAGCTGTTACTGTCCACTCTGACTCATTAAGAACTTGCCTCAACATGTCACAGAAGACTTTGTGTCTTTGAACAGGCAGGTCACAACAGAAAGAAGAACTGTCTGGGATTTGCAGATGAGCGTGGGAATACTTTATCCTAGTATTCATCTCCCAGTGAGCAAGATTTTTCTAGAGCATAGTGAAGGTGGGTGGAGGGGGGTGGGAGTGTCACCAGTGCAAATCAGCCTGAGATGGTTAGTGAACAGAAATTGTAAATTTCATAAAAGCAAATTGAAGACATGCTTCTTGGGTGCTGAAGGATTTCTGCCCCAGCTGCTCTTACAAGCTTCCTGTCCAGGTAGCTGAGCAGCTAGGTTTAACTTACCTAGGAGAGAATTGGTTTTGGATTGCTCAGGTTATTGGCAAACTATAAAACAATTGCATGGGCTGATACAGTCATTTTAGATTTTAGGATGTACGTGCATGGAAGGTTGATTTCCTAAAGCTTCTAAGAAACGGAAGTGGTTAAACTCAGGACCTGCTGGTTCTGGCTTGCTACTAAACAAAACCTTGTTGTTGTTTCAGTTTATGCTGTAGACAGCTACTTCACTGCCAAAATGACATCTTCGACCTCTGAACAGTATCCAGCATCTGAGAATGCCTGCAGAATCGCACTTGGACAAGCTAACCAGGTAATCTCCCCTTCCCACTCTACCCCCCCAGACACACACTCTCTTGGCTTTCCTCTCTCCTTATTAAAAATAAGGCCAGTGAAGCCCTACTAGAGCAGCTTTGACTTCATGGCACGTGGCCTTTTGTACAGGGTGGAATGAATAGTCTTTCATCAAGTGAGTGGTTTGTGAACATTAACTACCAGTGCCACTGGTCTGGATGATAGATTGGTAATATTGGACTGACATTTAAAATAGTGGGGGAAAAAGTGAGGTGGGTTAAACTGGCCACACAGGAAAGTGCATAATGTGTGTATTTCCAGGCTTCATACCTTATTTAGGCTATGCCTACATTAGCAAGCTTACAGCGGCACAACTGTACCGATGCAGCTACGCTGCTATAAGATCTCTTGTGTGGCCGCTCAATGTCCACGGGAGAGAGCTCTTCCAGCAACATAATTAATCCACCATCAACGAGTGGCAGTAGCTATGTCTGCAGGAGAAGCTCTCCTGCTGACATAGCACTGTGTGCACTAGCGTTTATGCCAGCATAATGTCCCTAGCCTCTGTTTGCCAGAAGCTGGGAATGGGCGACAGGGGATGGATCACTTGATGATTCCCTGTTCTGTTCATTCCCTCTGGGGCACCTAGCACTGGCCACTTTTGGAAGACTGGATACTGGGCTAGATGGATCTTTGGTCTGACCCAGTAGGGCTGTTCTTATGTTCTTATAATTTACGTTGCTCAGGGGAGTGGGCTATTCATACCCCTGAGTGACATAAGTTTTGCTGACATAAGTGGTATTGTAGACATAGCCTTACATGGGACCACACAGAGTTCCTTTTTAAAAACTCTGGACTACATGGAACTGTTAAATTATGCAGTTCCTCAGAATATGAAAAGACACTCATCTGTGTGACCTAGTTTATAAAGCCAATAACATCTCTCTGTCTCTTGGAGCTACCTTGAACACTGAACACGTGCTGTTCCCCATACCAATCTATTCCCAGGGGATTGGTGGAATGAGTGCCAATATGTCATAGCCTGACTGCTTTAGGAAAGCGATCCAAAGCCAGCGTGGCAATTCTTTAGCGTAGAGTGTGGGAATCTTGAAAACTGGCACTGCGTCAACATGTTGGCTGCCAGTCAAAGAGAAAAAACTGCAGTGTGAGCTATGGCTAGAAAAATGCAGTCTACGAACTCTGATGAGTGGGTTCTCCAAGACAAGAATGGGTCTGTATCTTTGAAGACGGTTTCATTGGTAAGAGCGTGTGTCTGGCTGGGGGCGGGGGGTGTAAATTAGCCTCTGAAGGGACTCGAACTCCCCTATATACTTAATTTATAAAATCCATCTGAGTCCCATGCAGAATTGCTTAACATGCTTCTTTATTCAGCATATTCTACTGAAAATGTATAAATAAATAAGCAGACTTTGATGTTAGTACAGAAATATTGGCTGCTTACACCCATTATCTTGGGGAATATGTAATGAACTAACATTCTCGTCTCTAATGTGGCTTCATTGTGGTAGCTAAGGTGCTATTTTAAATATTCAAATTAATTTAGGCAATTTTTTTTTAAACACAGAAAAGGGAAGGTGAGGAGGTAGTTATTTAAAATGAAGAAAAATCCATGACAGTGGTCCTTAGCTTGGAGAAATAAAACTGTCTTGTACTTGCATTAATTGCGCTCATAAGAACATTGTATTAGTACTGGCACAAGCTTTTACTTTCATTGAGCTTAATTCGTTATGTCCTAACAAAATGGCTGGTGCTGAAAAGAGGAATTGTGGCATGAGTTTGGACATTCCTTGCTCTGTTTGATTTGATCTTAAAAGGTGAAAGGTTCTTTTTAAGAATGAATCTAGCAGTGATAATGATGTGGGAGTAGATAACTCTGAGTAAACACATTCTTAGAATTTGAAAAGTGTGTGCACAGTGGGATGAATTCCTGCCTGAGTATTGTCTGGCAGCTGAGTTCTTGACCAATTAGTTGGTGACAAATAGTAACAAAACTCCTCATGCCTCAGGCAGGAGCTTGGTGGTTCCAACTCTACCTGGAGGCTAGGATGTAGTGGGCTTGGGAATTCTGAGTTGCCCTCCTTTCAGGAAGTGAGGGCTTTTTGCAAGTGCATTTATATAGGGAGAGATCATAGAATATCAGGGTTGGAAGGTACCTCAGGAGGTTATCTAGTCCAACCCCCTGCTCAAAGCAGGGCCAATCCCCAGACAGATTTTTACGCTCAAACCACTGAGCTATCCCCCCTCCCCTTGAGCTAGCTAGACATGGCTGAGCCCACCTTTGCTAGAGAAAAGATATAATGGGCCATTTACAGCAGGAAAGAGGTTCAGAGGCCTGCTTCAATACAACAAGCCTTTGATAAGTGTTTGGAGACCAATAGAGTATTGTGTACAAAAACCCTTCCCACCACATCTTGCTGCTTGTATTCTAACCAGTGTATGATCTCTTACCCATGTGGAATAGAGCATGTGTGTGCAATGAGAGCTCATACCTACCCCACTACTTCAAGATGCCACTAGCCTAATGAAAGGACTGGACTGGATCATTGATTCTCTTAATCAATAAATCCTGTTTTCTTTCAAAAATAACATTAGTCTGACAGAATCATTGCTTCCAGCTGATTTATTTGAGCAGAAATAATTAGGCCAAGCTAGAAAGAGCTGTTCCCTGCCACTGGTTTTCAGAACTCTTGTTTTTCCAGCCTTATGAAGCCATTTCAGAAGTGACAGATGAAATTGGCCACAGTCTTCTAAAAGACTTCACTCGTAGTTGATGTAGCATTATTATAGCCCTAATTGGGTTTTGTTAACGCTGAAATGAGAAGGGGACAGGGAGAAAGCTCTGACAGACAGAGCAAAAATTGTGAAAGCTGCAGTTTACATGCTGAGGGCCAGGTTCTGAGTGCAAATACGTCGCCACTGTCTCCCCGAACACACACGACTTTTTCTTTTGAGATGCAGCAATATGTAGTGTTTATCCAACATCAGGATTTGGTCCTAAAGTTAATCAATGTATGTTCAGAAAAATGCCACTGCTTTTGCATATAACCCTCCCAAAACATGCCACATTTTAAATCCATCCCCTCTGCCCTGCTGGTATTAAGTACTGAAGGATGCAAGAGGCAAATGGGAGAAAGGTTTAATGTAGCAATATTGGTTGTATTTATAAAACACCATAACATTCAGCTACTAATGTGAGCAATCAGGTTGGGGCACCTTGACGGTTTTGTGGAGAACGATACTGGTTTATGCCGTGGCATATCTCCCTAGGATGTTACTCTTTCAGGATGTGTGTGGATGGAGGACTCGAGTAGGGCAGTTGGGGACTGATAACTATTTAAAACTTGCCACTGCTTTTTTTTTTTGGAACATTCAGACTACAACTTTAGCTGTCTCAACTGCTATTGAGATTTGCTCAGGTGTGTAGTGTGGAAGTAACCAAAGGAAAACTACCGTGAAGTTGCTTCATGTTCACACTTGTGTGAGTGTGTGCCCACGACAAGGGAGCCCCACTACCCGACCTATTAATCCATAACTCTGGTGAGAGATTGGGTGGAAATTTGGGGTCCACGGAGAGTGCAGGATCAGTCCTTTAATGCTACTTAAAATAAACTTTTATACGCTGCACCCTTTTCTTGTAATTTTTTGTCTCTATTCAGAAGTTTTTAATAGCCAAACGTCACCTATGGGCTGTGCAGAAGTGACCTATTCTATTCTTCCTATCCAGTGAGCCAGATTTAAACCTGGTCTAATTGAAGTTAATGGTGTGGCCATTGCATTATCCCTCACATGTCTAGCTAGTCAGCCTCTAGGATTCCCCTCACCTAAGGACTAATTCTCCAGTCCTTGCTCACATGACCAATCCCATGCAAGTTAATGGCACAGTGCAGATGACTAAGGTCTGCCTGATTGGGCCTCCTACTTTGCTGACTGCGCTCATCTTGTATTAGGATCAATATGGTAGAGAAGTTGCATTGACTGACTTTTAATTCTGACTAGTGAAGCATACCGTTACAGATCCTGATCCTGCAATAAGCTCTGCTTGGGTAGGCCCATATTTATTTCAGCAGGGCTCTGAACAGACACAAGGGTCCATCTGCACGAAGCTCATTGCCCCAGACAGGATTGTCTTCTCTTCAAGCATACCTCAAATGCAGGTCATTAACTCTAGAAGAACATGAATGAGCCCTTGGGAGGGACCTCAAAGACTAGCGATGTCCCCCTTGGCCAACAACTCACTGTAGAACCATTTGTCTGGACTTGCTATAATGATTGTATGACAGTCTTGCCATGAGGTGTGCCCCCAGCATTTATTAGTTACGTAATTGATGCCCATGTGCACAGTTCTTCTCAGTAGTTCACCACGTTATGTAGCCAATCCAAAACTATGTATTCTGTATTTTAGGTACAACCGAAACTGCCACTCCTGAAGATTCTGCAAGCAGCAGGTGCACAAGGTGAAACCTTCACATTGAAAGAGGTGAGCCCAGGACTCTACTTTGATGGTTAAACCAAGAAAGTAGCTGTAATAATGGTCAGTTAACGGACGATTAATGTGCCACCTTGTGAAGTTTACATCCAGGACCTTGAAAATGGAAAATTATTTTATTATGAATTACTAAAATGCACTGGATTAGGAATTGGGAGAGCTGGGTTTTCTTAGTAGTTCTGCCACAGATTTGTGTTGTGGTCAGGATCTCCTCACTGAGTCCTCATTCCTGCAAGCTGATGGGTGGCAGTGTAGCCTCACTGAAGTCAGTGTGGCCCACTGGGACCCGTTCAGGTAAATCATCTTGCAGGATTGGGACCATAGGGCCTGGAAATCAGTGGGTGCAGAATTGGGTCCTTGAACTCCTGTGCCTTAGTGCCTCTATCTGTAAAATAGGGCTGCTTTATACATGGGGATATGAAGACTTTTTTGAGCATAATGGCTCAGATCCTCAAAGGTATTTAGAATCTTAAATCCTATTGAAATCAATGGGAGTTAGGTGCCTTAATATCTTTGTGGATCTGGGTCAAAGTGCTTTGAGATCCTCTGATGGAATCCCTATAAGAGTGCAAAATATGAATGAAAATTATTATATATCTTGAGAATCCAGGAACAGCTTTAGGAGAGATGTAATGGATAGCTGCGCTCTTGAGAGATTGTCAGAGACGCGTTGCAATTGTTTTACTATCATTCATTGCTTGAAAGTTCTTAAATTGTACTTCAGTTGATATTTTCTCTTAAGTTTCTTTTGAAACGTCTTGTCAGCTAAACCTAAGACACGCTGTGAATTCATTTAAGATTAAAATGCAAAATGTATACAAGATTAAAAAAATGACACTGTCTGTGATTTACAGGGGTATCCTGTCAGCAAAGAATTAAATGTGGCGGTTTTTCATTATGAATGTGTCAGATATTCCCGCAGAGCTGTGTGACTTATTTTAAACTCTTATACATTTAAACAACATATTTAGAGTCTAAATTTTTTTGCAAAAACAAGTTGAATGCTTCGAATGGGTGGGGAGAGGGGGTGTTTAATTTTAAATGCAGGCTGCTACAGTACACCGTAGGCATTCCTCTTGAGTGAATAGAAGTACTGTTAGCAACTTCTTTGGTTGCATTTATCTTTGTTCAAGTGAGCCCTCTTTTGCTTCTAATCAGGTGTCTAGTTTACCTAAATATCCTCTTCGTAGCCAGTTCTGTGGCCTTAGTCCTCAAGGGACATTTTCTATAGCAAAGGAATCATTTTCTCCCCACACTTCTGTGTGGTTCTAATGCAAAGCATCTTGCATCTATGATCTTTGCTCTGTACCTGTGCCAAGCAAGTGGTCTCCTCCCACTTAACTTCGGCCTTCCTTCATGTTGAGTCACCATATTTTCTTGCCCTCCCACTTTTGAGAGAGAAGACAGTTGAAGACACACTTTGGTGGTTACAGAGAAGTACCAACTGTGTAGCAGGGGCCTGGCTGCATTGCCACTAGAGAACAATCTTTGGGTCGTTCTGAATAGCTGTTGTTACTATGTAGGATGTCAGCTGAGCCTTTGACCCAGCCAGCTGGGTTCTAGTTGGCTGAGAAGGAGCCTGTGCATAGATTATAAATAACTTCAACCTTGTCCTGTTCTCTGTTGTAATCTGAGACAGCAAAGAGGGTTCTGGTTTGTTTGCTGACATTTTAAGTGGCTGGGATTAATGAAGGAGCGTCAGTGGGTAAAATCTTTCCATTTAATTCAATACTGAAGTTGGAGTTATTGTAAATTGGCCAAGACTACACTTCCCTTTTTTGATGGATCACATGGAAACTAGTGCTTTAATTAAATGCCAGAGCCAAATCAACTGCACTTGAAGTTACCGGAATATCGGTTCTTCTATAGTGCAAAAAACAGCATCTCATTTTGGGAAACTCTGGCACCATCTCGCTAAACATTTTGATGGTGCAGAGGGTGTGACAGTTTACCCCATAAGGCTTTATGGGGGGGTGCTTATAAATGTATGTGTGATTATAACTGGAATAGGGTTTTGCGACATGTGCCATGTAACATGTCTATGTAAAGGTTATGATCTACTGGTTATGTTCATCCTAGTTGTATGCAGGCACCATTTGTGTGTTCAAAGTTATGTATACTGGCTTGATTTCTAAGTAAGCTTTGTGAGGCATTTAGTCAGCGTCTTTAGGAAGGAATTTGCAAGGTTAAGTACCTGATCAGGAAGCATTTGGGGAACAATGCGTCTTGGAATGCTCTAATCCACATAAGAAGTCTTCCTGAGACATACAAGATACCACATGGACAATAGATTCATAGGTTTTCTAGGACTGGAAGCGACCTCGAGGTCATCGAGTCCAGTCCCCTGCCCTCATGGCAGGACCAAATACTGTCTAGACCATCCCTGATAGACATTTATCTAACCTACTCTTAAATATCTCCAGAGATGGAGATTCCACAACCTCCCTAGGCAATTTATTCCAGTGTTTAACCACCCTGACAGGAACTTTTTCCTAATGTCCAACCTGAACCTCCCTTGCTGCAGTTTAAGCCCATTGCTTCTTGTTCTATCCTTAGAGGCTAAGGTGAACAAGTTTTCTCTCTCCTCCTTATGACACCCTTTTAGATACCTAAAAACTGCTATCATGTCCCCTCTCAGTCTTCTCTTTTCCAGACTAAACAAACCCAATTCTTTCAGCCGTCCTTCATAGGTCATGTT